AATAATAATAATAATAATAATCGACTCTCCGTCGAGATTCGACGTATGAGGGTCAAGCAGATCAGTTTTCAGGAAACCGACAGCCCGACAACAGCACATGAGATTTGATTATAGTGGTGAAAGCTTCGTGCAGGACCATCCACACTTTTTGAAGGGACGAATACAGAAACCTGGTGCACTACGTGCCACAAGGTCACCAAACGACCCTCCGCAGGTTTTGAATTCAGAGTTGTCCTTCTCCTAGACCAGTTTACTCTCCCTCCAGCTATGGTATATATATATATATATATATATATATATATATATATATATGAATTAAAACGAAAGATGGTCCATGTGGGCTTCTTAGTATATGTAGACTTAATAGACCTGTTATTGAATTTTGAAGAATAAAAAGACAATAAAATGATAACAATAATAGCAATAAGACTGATAATATTTTTATATTTATATATACATTTATTGCATATATTACATATTTATGGGGCGTTTGACTAAAATGATGCACGATAAGAAAAATTTTAAAGTTGGAACTTTCGGACATGTGTCCTTTTTCATCGAGACGAGAAACAAAAAAGAAGTGGGACTCTCTTTATTTGGGAATGTTGTTGTTATTGATTAGAGGTCTCCCTGTGGAAACGATATTCTCTGAGTAAACCCAAATCCCTGTTTAATTCTTTAATATGTAATTTTGAAAATGTATTTTAACATCGATCTCTCATTGTTGTCGGCTTTTAAATGAAAACACTAAAAACATGCATCTGATGTCATCAATGCTATGGAAAGGTGGGTTGAAATGTGCATCGACAGAGAAAAATGGTTTTTGCTGTCTTTATGGGGGTTTTTTATGGTTGTTGAACCGAAGACGGAATTCTGTGCCTGTTTCTGCAACATAATTCCCTTTGTTACAGAAAAGCACATATATAAGATTTGAATTTAAAAATTTCGACATTGCTTCTACCTGCTATCCTTCTAAAACTAACACTGATTTATGAAGCTCAACATGTTCAAAATTGTGAGCTAAATTTATTTTAGCATTCAGTCCCGACATTTTGTATTGAAACTCATAAAGAAATTTTTTTTCAGTTGTTAGTAATATAAGTAAGTTTTACCAAGAGAATAGAACTGTATAGATCTATCTCATCTTTCTCTTTCTCTCGCTATCTCTTTCTATCACTCTTTTCTACCCTTCTCCCTATCTCACTGTTTACAATTCTCTATTTCGTTCGTTCAGCTTTGTATAATCGTCCATCTGAAATATTTTTCCCGCGTTCACACGTTCATTTCCATCTTGATTTCCGCCTAAAATGATGTGCGCGTTATCGAAGGAGAAAATTCCGCTTTCTCTAATTTTTCTTCAATAAACAACTGATTGCAGTGTTTACTCGGCAAGTGTCTACAAATGAAAATCACACGATCAATTTTTCGTGTGAGCTTTTCTTTTTTTTGCTATCTTTCTTCTAGCGTTATTTTTCTTAGTCGATTTAATTCGGCAGGTCTTCTTATATTTCCTGCATTTACGCATGAACAAAACAGCGCCGTGACGGCATCAGCAAAAGAAAACATTTCCGTCAATCTCCAATTGAAATAATTCATGCCGAAACTATCTCAGTCAGTACACAAAGATATATGTATCATTTTATAACAGTCTATTTCACGCTATCTATCTATCTATCTATCTATCTATCTATCTTAGGCTGTCCATATGTATCTATCAATCTATCTATTCATCTATCTGTCTGTCTATCTATCTCAGGCTGTTCATATCTATCTATCTATCTCATTCTTCTGTCTCTGTTCATATCTATCTATCAATCTCATTCTGTTCATGTCTATCTATCTATCTATCTATCTATCTATCTATCTATCTATCTATCTCAGTCTGTTCCTTTATCTATCTATCTATCTATCGTTCTGTTCAAAGCTATCTATTTACCTACCTCTCATTCTGTTCATATCTATATATCTATCTAACTATCTCAGTTCATAAATAAATATTTATAATTTTATGACATCCTGTTTATTACTATCTACACTCTCTCTCTCTCTCTCTCTCTATATATATATATATATATATATATATATATATATATATATATATAAAATTTATCATATAGACAAAACCATTTTACTCACTACAAAAGATGCAACTTGGTTTCAGTGCATTTCAGCTGCACTTTGAGGGGTGAGAATCGAAAATGATTATAAAAAATCCTGATTTTTCGATTCTCACCCGTGGAAGTGCAGCTGAAATGCACTGAAACCAAGTTGCATCTTTGTAGTGAGTAAAAAAATTTTGTCTATATTATAAAATTATAATAAATAATTATCGCTCTACTATCGGTATCGAGCCCTCTTTTGGATTAATGCTGTGAACGTTGGAATTTATATCTTACTGTCGTTCTCATCGCATCGGACATATATATATATATATATATATATATATATATATATATATATATATATATATATATATATGATAAACAAATACTAATCACTTTATGTCAGTCTGTTTCAATTTCTTGCTCTATCACAATCGATTCATTCATATCTATCTGTTTATCTATCTATTCTGTTCATATATCTTTAACTATTCAAATCTCTTCCTATATGTCTATATTTCTGAGATGAGGTATTATGTACACTATTTACATTATTCGGACTATTGTCCTCATCTTTATCGCCATATTTATTACAACGTTTCGCCCTTTCAGTATCTGTCTATATTTCTGAGATGAGGTATTATGTACACTATTTTTACATTATTCGGACTATTGTCCTCATCTTTATCGCCATATTTATTACAACGTTTCGCCCTTTCAGTATCTGTCTATATTTCTGAGATGAGGTATTATGTACACTATTTACATTATTCGGACTATTGTCCTCATCTTTATCGCCATATTTATTACAACGTTTCGCCCTTTCTGTATCTGTCTATATTTCTGAGATGAGGTATTATGTACACTATTTACATTATTCGGACTATTGTCCTCATCTTTATCGCCATATTTATTACAACGTTTCGCCCTTTCAGTATCTGTCTATATTTCTGAGATGAGGTATTATGTACACTATTTACATTATTCGGACTATTGTCCTCATCTTTATCGCCATATTTATTACAACGTTTCGCCCTTTCAGTATCTGTCTATATTTCTGAGATGAGGTATTATGTACATTATTTACATTATTCGGACTATTGTCCTCATCTTTGTTGATATATTTATTACAACGTTTCGGCCGTTGTACGCTCCGGCCTTTTTCAGGTGGTTGGAATGTCGAACTGAACCCCTTATTTCGCTCGCTGGGGTAGACTGTTCTAGTTCCACGTGCCATGTTTGATGGATGTCAGTTATCATTTATCTCCTGCTAATTTCCCTCTGAAAAATCTCCGCTGTCTTAACCGGGTATTGAACTCACACTCTTTGGTCTTGTCACTGGATCAATCAGAGATAGAGAGATAGAGAAACAAATACATTACTATTCTCTTCAAAATCAGTTTACAATGATATAGACTAATTAAAAAAAGGACACATGGCACAATGGATAAAGGGGATCTAGTGACAGGACCCAAAGAGTGTGAGTGTGCTGGCAATCATTTGGTATTAAAATCTATTTTTATACTTTCATAGTATTTTGATCCCTTTTGGGTGGTTAACTATTTACCCATAGCTGGGACCCTAACAGGTGCTACCACCCCAGGTCAGGATGGACCTGGGAACACCAGCAATTAAGAGGTGGTTCCACGCTCCTCAAAACCTCCTGGTCAAAGGCCTTGCTATCGAATGTAGTTTATCGTCTTACCCAGGACAAGGATGTATTTCATCGTCTTACCCTGAACGCTTGGTTTGTTGAAAGATATACTAACTCCTTATAGGGCATTTAATGCCGAAATTTAATTTTCTGGGGAGTTTCTTGGGAGCTTCGGTAATTTCTTTTCAAAAATGTATTCATACTGCAAAAATCTATTTTTATATTTTCATGCATTGATTCCAGATTGGGAGTTCACTATTTGCCCATAGCTGGGACCCAAACAAATGCTACTGTTACATACCGTACCTACGAACACTAATGAGTATGTCTCAATCCTCATAAATACGTTGGGCACTATTGTAAGTGGGGGAAATATGCTGTCTAAGTAGTCAACCACTAGCAGTGGTTTACCTAGTTCACGCCGCTGGCGAGTATTGTATTTTGTGGATGTTATAAAGATTAACATTTCATTTCCAACTTCCCTTTTTGGTTATTCCTCATTTAGTAACCATTTCTATGTTACAACAGCTACGATACCGGGTAGGGTGGACCTGGGAACAACAGCAGCTAAAAGAGAGTTCCACAATCCTCAAAACTTCTCAATCAGATGCCTTGCTGCCGGATGTAGTTTATCGTCATACCCAGGACATCAATCAGTCAATTGATGTTGAGGTACAAGGATAAATTTAATCAAACGTTAAATTTTATTGATACTTCGTGTCGTCCTTTAAAGAAGTGTCTTCTAATCATGTCAAGGGGGAGTGTGCGCGTTCGAGTCTCAATATGGTGAATTCTTGATGTTATCAGGCAGTTCCGTTGGGATGTACCTGGAAACGCCTCCCACGCAAAAAAATCAGTTCTCCTTATCGTGTGGATAATGAAAAGAAAATGGTTCGTAAGAAAATAGTAATAGTTGTGTTGGTAACGGTAATCTTGAGCAAATACATGACAGGAAGGCAGTATTGGAAAAAAAAGAAAAGCCTGTGGCCATCATCGTGGTAGTGGTAATTAATCCGGCTTTGTTTAAAAGGAAGATGGTGAACGCTACAAGCTATTTCGATTTTCGTTTGATTAATCGGACGCAATCAGGAAATTATTTTAGGGACAGAAAGAAGGAATTGGAAAAGATGAAAAGAGAGAGAAATTAATCATTGTAAAAGAAAGAAAGAAAGAAAGAATGGATTAGCAAAAATTAAGAAACGGAAATGATAAAAGAAACGGAAGTAAATAAAGAAACGGAAATGCTAAAATAAATTGAAAGAAAGAAAGAAAGAAAGAAAGAAAGAAAGAAAGAAAGAAAGAAAGAATGGGTTAGCAAAAATTAAGAAACGGAAATGATGAAAGAAACGGAAGTAAATAAAAAAGAACGGAAATGAGAAAAGAAATTGAAAGATATAAATAAATAAAATGGAAGAAAAGTGAGAAAAAAAGGATATCTGAAACAAAGAAAGAAAAGTGAATGATACAAATAAACGAGAAAAGAGAAGGAAATGAATGAACAAATTGCAAGAAGGAAAGAAAAACGTAAAAAAAACTGAAAGATCTGAATAAATATATAAAATCTAAAAGAAAGAACATGGATTAATTACTGAAAAAGATAAAAGAAAGAGATTGAAAGAAGAAGGAAGGACATGAAAAAAACGAATGAAACTGAAATAAAGAAAGAAAGAATTTGAAATCAAAAGATGAAGGAAGTAAAAGAAAAAAAATGAAACGAAGAAAAATTGTGTAAGAAAAAAGAACGAAAAACAAACGAAATAGGAGAATGAAATTGAAAAAAAGAATAAAATGAAAGAGAAAAACTTAAAGAATGAAACTGAATGAAATAAAAATTTAAAAACAGAAACAAACAAAAAACAAACTGAACGAGAAAAAGAAAAAATATGATAAAAGAAAGAATCAAAAAAAAGAATTAATTAATGGAAGTGTCGAACGAAAAAGTCTAAAATAAATTCAAATCAAACAGGAATAAAAACTCGTTACTGAAAAATAAAGAGCCGAACAAACGAAAATGCAAAAGATTCGAGAATTCGGCAAAAGTAGAAGAAAGAATTTTGCAAATTTTTAGTATTTTTTAAATCACGAAAGCGTTATAAAATTGCTAAAAAAAAAAATAAACGATACAAAAAAAAAACAAAACGAAATAACAAAAAAAAAAACAGCTGACTAAAGCAATATTAAACAAGTCGTTAATTTAACGGCTTTCTGTGCAAACTTCACTCTTTTCCCGCCCTCGTCACAGTGTTAGCGAACTAACAAGTCCCATGACACTGTAGGCCGATTGTCATTTTCACACCAACCACTTTTCATTTCACTCCAAGAAGGAAAAGAAAATTCTAGCAACATTCTCAGGTGTATTAAACTCGCCATCGTTTTAAAAACGGCTTGTAAAGATTTACTTTGTAAAATAACGTCGAATACGACTGCCAACTAATTCTTTTTAATCAATCCAGTCCACGCAAGGCGATAATGCCACTAAGACGCAAGTGGCTAATAGGAATGAAAGAGAATGAGAAGACTTTAAAAGAAACTAGAAACCCAACCCTAAACAGGCAACAAGGTTAAATCTCTACTCCAGTTCAACAGCGCAAAACCGAACGAAAGGCAAACCTATCTACTCCTATCAAGAAAAAAAATAAACAGTAAATAAAATTTCAGAGTTTAGGCAAAGTCATTAGAAGTATAGTGTTGAGGTACCCTTTACAAGGACATGGAAACCCAACCCCTAACGGTAAACAAAGGATAAATCTCTACTCCTGCTCAAAAGGGCCGAGGAGTAGTTTAAGAGGCGATAGACGAACCTATCTACTCCTATTAAGAGAGGAGTAGATAAGTTCGTCTATCGCCTGTTATCTTAAAAAGACGTTGACTTTTAAGACAAGTCACTATTCATATTTCATACATTTACATACCTATATCAAAAATCTGGTGCTTATTATTGGAGACTAAATGACAAGGTTTCTCAAATCTTCAGCACCTTCCGCAGTATCATCCTGATCATAATAATATCTTTTTCTGCACGCGTTCTCTTCTTTCTTAAAACTGCCAACGCGTTTATCTTCAGTTTTGGTGCTTTTAGCTTGTTTCCAAGTGAGAAAATTATAATTAACACTATATCGTCCTGTTTTGTTTTTTTGTTTTTTTTTTTGCAGTATTCTCAATTGCTAGGCAATTTTTTTTTTTTCGATCTGAAAGCAACATAATATTTTAGTCTTCGTAATTTTGGAGGGTAGCTTGTGTATTTTGCTGAGTTCATTTTTCTATATTCTCGAATCGAAGCCGTTTTCACAGTTCCGCGTATATAACAGTTCTTGCCCAGTCGTATCGACTTTTATTTTTCTTTTGACACAATTTCCACGGTTCATTTATAATGTTGTTATTTCATGCATGTCCAGGTTTATTTACAATCAGATACCTCGGGATTACCGCTGTAGATCCAACTTTCCAGCACCTTCCTCAGTATCATAACAGACTTAGGCAATATTCTTCCTCGAATTTTTTATTCAACAAAATCTTGTTTATTTAGCACTTTTCTCTCTTAAGGATATCATCATGGACTTCACGTGTCATAGCTTCCTCAGTTCTTGGGAAATATCTAAATTTTAAAATTATTTCCTTTTTCCGTTTGTGATCATAGATAGAACAGCCATTTCTACAATTTGACAGGGTTTGCGTGTTGGGGAGGGGGATTATGGCAAGTAGATCCTATTGACATGCTTGGATAGAGTCGTTGATTTGGATTACAAAACCCAGAGTATCTTATTTAAAGAACAGCTTGAATTAACGCTATTTAATCATATGGTCGAACCTAAGTGGTTTGCACAGTTCTCGATGGATCAATGTTCCTACTTGAGTAACCATAAAATACTTCTCTTTCAGTCTCCAGCACCTTCCGCGGTATCATCGTAGATGCCAACAACGCCATACTGTGAACAGCCGTAAGTCTTACTCGATTTCCTGATTCATTGAATTTCCAGTTTGGAACACTGTACGAAATAAACAGTTACTCTCAAAAACACTAGTGTAACATTCGTGTTTTTTTTCATTTTTTTTCTGGGGGGGGCGGTTTTTTTTTCTTTTTTTTTTTTTTGGCGGAGTTGTTCTCCAAAATAAGATCCTGGTATACATTACTTTCTATCAAAAGTAAAAATAAATTCTTTCAACACTATGTTTCTAGAAATAAAACTTTTGTGAGTTTTTACTGCATCATCAAAAAAGATGTTGACTATTCGTTCATGCACATACGGATATGCGTATGTGTATCCCACGGGCTCGGATACCCCACATTAAATTCAGCCTTGGGCCATATCTGACCGCGTGGGGCGGTTGGTAGATATCCTGCAGCTGGAGATTCGTCTCCAGCTGTGCTGGTCAAACTCTCCTGCCTCCGGGCAGAGAGGATCCCCAGACGAGCCTATGTTGAAAGGCAGAGTCCCGTCACAGGAAACAGCTGCCCGTCCCCGTTTTATACGGGTTCTACGAGGAATTGTTGGCCGAGCCTACGAGTTCGGATACCCCACATTAAATTCGGCCCTGAGTCATATCTAAATACGTGGGGGTATTTGGATTATGGCGTTAGGCTTGGTAGCTTAATTTACTCACCGAATTACACGCAATTATTATCTATCGTTAATTTATTTATAATTAAAATCTATTTTAATCCTGTTCCTATTTTCCCTCCTCATTCTCTATTTACTAATACATTTTTTTATTGTTTTCTGCTTCTCGTCAACGTTCACGTTTTGAGAAAGTTCTGACCCAAAGGATGTCCTCAAGGTAAAGGAATGACATAAATTCTACTTAAGTCTATTCAAATATTATAGATTTATACTAGGTGAAAGTACTGTTAGTCTACGGTAGCTCGTTAAAAGTGGTAGCTGTATATATAAGACTTTCCATTTCCCGTTTAATATTATAATATTACTAGCAGCATGGCCCGGCATTGCCCGTGCTTGATTCAAAAATCGTACGAAAAACACAGCAGTCGCTACCAATTGACTTAAAATATTTTTGCCCTTCCTTGCCTTTAAAGGAGTCCCCTTTGCCGTGCTTATGTTGCTACATCTCACACTGCGATTTTTTTCTAAGCTCTATACTAAACATTAAATCTGTTACGAAAAAAGAACTAAACAAAATGAACACAAAATGATCAGCTTTAAAAAAAAAGACTCATAACAGGAAATGAAAAAAGAATGTTAACAACAAATACTTTTTCACGCCCAACCCAGTTCTGCGGAATCAGAATCAACGTTGAGTTTAAGCAAGCGAATGAGCCAATTGGAGTAAAGTGCCATGCAGATTTAAATTTTTCCCACATGTGACGAATGCAGCTATCGATTTTATTTTTGCATGCTAACATGCTAGTTAACATTCGTGTCAGTCAGCTGTTGGCTCTCACGCTGGCCAATAGAATTTTCCTGCCTATTCGTGGCAGCCAGCTATTGGCTCTCACTCTGGCCAGTAGAAAATGGCCGCAAACTACATGAAAAGTGCCGTAGAAGCATGAAAAAATCGATTATTTCCACTATCGATGGGAGTTGGGAAATACAAAGTCGGTGTTGGCCTTCCCACTAACTTGGAGCATGTGCATGTAAATTTTGGTGCAAATCCGTCGAAAATTGCGGCAGTGCATTCGTTAAACACACACACATCCTGCCTTTTATAGATAGACATTTCCTTCACTTTATCTTGATATTCTTCAGTCGTCAAAGCCATTTTATTCCAGTTGACTGTTGAATGAACACACCCATGAAGCATGTGCTGCCAAAATGAAGGTTGAAAAGATAAAAACACTGAGACTCTCGAACGACCAAGCGTTGTGGTAAATGAATGTTTGACTGGAGCATCTCAAACTACTTCAGCCTTAGTTCCAAACTTGCCGGCAATGCGACAAACATATCGCTAGGAATCGAAAATTATTAAACAAGTCACCAGCTAACCCAACAGATTTGGAGCATTTAGCCATACCTGAGTCCTATACATTATATGTTCCCGAAGTGAATCCGGCCAAAGACAGTGAAGTCGAGACATTCTGACGCCGAAACGGCTGTGCTGAATAGTCCAATTATACTTCTGACGCTGAATCAGTGACGCCGAATCAGCCGAAAAGTACCCCACCCTATTTAAGTACCATTGTAAACAAGCTCCAAAATACGAAATATGTTCCGTCTTTAAATAACTCACAACAGGTTGATAAACCGTAAAAGAACAAATCAATTAATCCAGAAATCGATGTTTGACCTCGAATGTCGGCTTTCAAGGAATTAAACTGTTCCTGTTTGGAAGATTAACTGCGTCATCATCTGTCTCCTCTTTTTTTCTTTTTCTCGATTTGGCCTTGAGTTCGTTGTACAAACCCTTATCTTATAAATGTTAAGAAAGACGGAGAAGAAATTAAAGAAAGCAAAACAAAAATTAGAGAGAAAGAGTGGGAGGAAGAGAGAGAGAGAGGACGAACTAAAAATAAAGAAAAACAAAAAAGAAATGAGAAGGAAAGAAAAAGAGAATGAAAAAGAAAAGAAAAAAGAAAAAAGAAAAAGAAAAGGAATAAAGAAAATGAAAAGAAAAAGAAATTAAATTAATGAATTAAAGTTTTGGCGATGTGAACAGAAAGATCGATGTAAAGTAAGATTACATATAAAGTTTTCAATTTACATTATTCCATTAGTTTTTAACAGGATATTTAATTCCCTAAATGAATAAAAAGTCAGATTGAAAGTTGGGTGTTTTCAATGCTTTTATCCTTTGGGGTGGGTATCCGGTTGAAGACAGTGACGTCGAGACAGTCTGACGCCGAAACGGC